AACCACAATTGGCAGGGTTAACAACAACAACAACAGCGGAAAAAGGAAACAGGGCGGGAAGGGGCAGGGGGAAAACAAAAATCAGGCTTTTTTCGGGAGGAAAAAGGGGCATTTTGAAAAAAATCCTGCTCAGGGTCCCGGCGGGCCGGGGAAAAGTTTTTGGGGGGTTTTTTTTCGGGGATTTTCCTGTAAACATAGCCCGGGGTTCATATGGAGGGGTACTTTTTGGACGGGGGGGGGGAGGAGGCCCTTTTTCAGCCTCCGGTGAAAGAAGGGGGGTGGTTTTTCTTTTGTCAAAAACACCCCCTGCCACCGGGGGGGGGGGGGGGGGGGCCCGGCCCAAAAAGGGGGGGGGGGGGGGGGGGGGGGGGCAGGGAGGAGGGCCACGGCAAGGATGTTACCCAATCATGGGTGTCAACTAAATCGCAGCAGCAGCAGCAGCAGCAGCATGAATGTTAACTTGTCCGCCAGCAGCATGAATGCTGACGTCTCCGCGGACCCACAGCAGTAGAATCCAAGGCACGCGATGTTTCGGGAGACATGCGGAGCACCACGGAGCCACAACGCGAACAAGCCACACGTTGGTCCCTTCTGAGGACAAACACGTTTAGTGTAAACGAGCGTCGTATGCCCGAACATAAAGTAAAAACGGGAGAGCTACCGTACAACATGTGTGGCGTTCTGCCACTGCCCCTTTTCCCGAACAGGGGTCTAGAGTTCTGTCTTTCCTCCGGACGTGACGCACACGGGCGACAACGGTGGCAACACCAGCAACGGCAAGACCGGCAGACTTACGGTGCAGCAACAGACGACATCGACGCCGTGCGAGGCCCAGTCGGTGTCGGCGATCTTGGCGTTGATGGTGACGGCCACACGCTTGCCGTCCACGCTGAACGAATCCGCGTCACCCTCGAAATCCACCTCGCGCCCCCTGCAAATTGTTCGCAAGATTCACAACCAGCACAGCAGAATATATTACAGATCGAATGCGACAGTCAGCATAAGTTGAAGAATGTGAGTAGTCCGGAACAGGCTGAAGAGCGGTGGCAATAAACACACCTTGGGTGTTTGGTCTCGTTCTAAGGCATAGTTCGGGTACCAACCATCGAAGATTTCTGGAGGACAACCAGCCGTCTCCGCGCCAAGGCCACCGAAAATTAGGAACAATATCCGAGCTACAAGAAAAAAAAAAAACACCTTCTGTTTTCAGGAGGTATAAAATATTCAACACCTGCCGCGGATCCCCCCGAAAAAAATAAAACACAAATACCAGAGGAGGGTCTGCTGCAAGTGCTGTACATTGAGAAAATAGGCTGCAAAACAAGATCAACCTTGCCACCTCAGAGGTTGATGATGACGCATCGAGCGAGGGGGGAGGTGGCGACTGTTTGTTTGCCAGTCTACACGATCGACTACAGAGGCCGGGGTCCGTCCTTATTTCGAGGAAGCTTTAAGATTTCTCCTACTTGCACTCGGTTTGCGCGCGATGAAATCGGATGGCAAATAGCGCGACACCCATGGCCTTCTGTCGAAAGGTGTGCCTTCATCTACTCACGAAATTCAAGCCGAGTGTACATCTAAGGACGGGGGGGGTGGAGGCAAGTCCTGGCGATATGTGTGGATTTAGTCGTATTGCACTGTTTGCACACTCTTCCTCCTCCAGTATGTAGGTGTCAGACAACGTGTAAATGTTTTCGCTGCTCCTCACTAGCGATAGCCCACTGGGCGGAAGGAATCATAGTGTACATCGATAGGGGCTGCTTCAAGAGCAATCACGCGGTTTCAAGTGGTCGTGCGAGTTCAACCAAAACGACGCACTGCAATGTAGACGTTTCTTTGTTTGTCTTGCCGCACCCTCTTTTTTCTTAGAAACAATCACTTGTCACACTCTTCGTACGGTCTGGATGGCCGCGCCTCTCTGCCCAGCGCCCTGGGTCTGCTGTATAGAAGTATAGAAGTATTTTTAAACAGAGTAGACAAAATAGAGGCGCAGGACACACGACGCGCACGCAGTGGCACTCAGCACCGATGGACAGCTACCGCTGCTGTCCATCTGGACAGCCGAGATCCAAGACATGAGAATCGTCAACGTCTGGGTGTTGTATGCGTAGTATGTGTGTGTCCTGCTGGGTGTGCGCGAAACACGATTCTCCCCTAGATATCCTGGTGTTGAAAAGCATGAGGTGTTTGTCTACGCAGGGGCAGTGCGCTGATGTTCCTCCAACAAGTACAAATATCTATATCCAAACTGCCAGCAGGCTACGCTCTGCGGCACACACATGCTATTGCTACCATGCAAATAGCAGACAGACAGCAGTGTACCATGCATGCGCACATATTTTGAAACCATGCATGTTAAAAATATAATGGGGGAGGGGCTTTGTACCTCGTCGAGCTTGTCATGGGGGGCGAAGCCTCCCGCTGTAGGTCACAATATTATTTAATTGGTTTTAGGTTTGGGGAGTACATATCCAATCACAGAAAGGCTATCTGTTCGAGATATAACCACAGTCCTTTCTACCAGTACCAGGGATCTTTGCTCCAAGTAGACCAAAATTGGCCGCTTTACGTGTCCGCCTGAGGGGATATCCTCCCCCCACACTACGGTCGATCGACCCAACCTTCTCCTGGGAAAAACGTCCAGCGAAAGATGCACACCCGCACAACCTAAAACACAAAACACAGCCCTTTCTTTGTCTTGGTGGGGATGGGGCTGAGGTCTATGGGTCCGACTGCTTCCTCTTTGCCCGAAGTACCCTGGGTTCCTGGGTTCTTTTCAGAGGCGGCACAATACAGTTGACGCCACCGTCGCTCACTGATACAATACCTTCTACAGGCAACGAAGACATGATGACATACCGGTGTACCGTGTGCGGTCGCCGAGTTCGTTGCTGCTCAAAATCTGGGGCATTTACAGATGCCATCTCACTGTGAGATTTTTCGAGGTTCGTGAAAGCTTTTCATCTGACGTGGCTGAGGCGTGGCTGCAATGTATCAGCAAAAGCCCACAGACAGAATCTTTGATACCAAAATCTGAGCAGTTTGTATGAGCGAAATGACCACGCCCGAAAACTCTAAAAAGATTTCGGGGTGCACATCGAGACTCCGCGCGTGGGGTTCTAGAAAAAATGCACGACATCGCAGAGAGACTGCCCGTGCTCTCCCATCGTTTACGCGCTACCCACGAATCTAGAACCCTCCACAGGTAGCTGCGGAACTGCCAAACCAGGCCCGTCGGAATCAACTGCTGTTAGCAACATACAGCAGGTGCCACGTTTTCCTCTCACCAAGGCCCATGGATAGAGTCGTACTTCAGCAGGTAGCCTGCCGTCTCCGCACCTCCGACGATCTCATTCACGAGAACGATCTCTGCAAAAGAAGGCGGAGCAAGCAAGGGCCAGGTTCAGCTGGAGCTGGTGCCGCGGCAGCAGCCATAGCGTAGTGGAATGCGAAGAGGTGAACGAAGAGACATCAGGGATGCAATGCATAGTCTAGATATTCGCCGAGTTCATGAAGTGCCCAAGGGGTCAGGCGACACCCATTGTGCTCCCATCAACACGCCCTGCCAACCAAAACAGGGATAGGGGAACGCAGAGAGCTCACGCGCTTCCGCGGGAATGGGCTAGCAACAGCAGCAGATGGTGTGAAGGCACGACCCATGGTTTACCGCAGAAAAAGTTCATGCGTGCGTGCGGGGGCGTGGTGCGCGCCGGTACACTAGCTTACCGACGTCCGGCATCTCCCACAGGAACCTGAACAGGCATCGCCCTATCCTGCCGAAGCCGTTGATAGCAACTCGGACTTTTGGGGACGACATAGCGCGTTTCCTACAGCTGTGATGGGTTTAGCGTTGCGATCGCGTGGGTTGTGAGACAAGCAGGTTGGCGAGATGCCAGCAACAACGGGGTGAGTTGGGGAAGGTCCGTACATCTTAAATTGAGAGGAGGTGCGAATGAACGCCAACAAGTCGTAGATGGTGGAGATTTCGGAGATGAATAAAAACCCGACAGTCCCGCCGCGATGTCTCCCAGAACATTGAGATGCACCGTACAAGGCGAATGTTGATGGTACGAAGGCCTCCCGACGAAAAATGACGACGACACCAACATTCCGCCACACGTATCTACACAGTAGTACCCGCCACGCGACCAGTCGGTATTGAAAAATGTATATAAATGTTGGGATCTACCGCATGTACTGTAATGCTGTATCGTCTCACCTGCCAGGACAACGAGGAGGACCGTTGCTTATTTTCTCTATACCGTCGTCTGCGGTGATTACCTGTATGCTTTTCCCGTGTGAAGGTTTCAGCTGTCTCTTTCCCTTGTTATCGCGAAATTGAAAGTTGTGTAACAACGACACAATCGTCCTTCGCCTACAAGTCCCACAGGTCTACGCTGTTGTGACTGAGTAAATGCGGAGGTTCGCACTGTACAGTACCCCGTGCTCGAGCAGATCACCTATAGTCTAGCCTATACCCTGTCCTGCGACGGGCCCGGAGACAAGAAACGTCAAAATCGGGTCGAGCCTCAATTTCTTATTTCCGCCCGAAGGACCAGCCGAAGTCAGTCAATTTAAGGTTTCTTATTCCTTTGGACTGCCGCATCCTGCTGCGCCTATCATTATATTTTCTCATTTCTGGCGAAGACGGCAAAACACACCAAGCCTTCATGCAGCATGAACTCGACAGCTCGGTGTGGCGATTGGGGTTGCCACCCTCCTGATCTTCCTGACTCCCGCGATTTGTGGCAGTACAGCAGCACAGCAGCAGTGGTAGCGCAGCCCGCGGCCGCGCTGGGGCGCGAGGGGCGCCGCGAAAATACCCACTCTCCCCCCCTAACAAAAATTGCATGATTTAGGTACTATAGTGGTGGGAGCAGCAGCAGTGGGACGTTTCTTATTGGACACGCTTCCCCAGCTACCCCTTGTTTCTTGTGTCTCTGGGTATCGCACGATCATGTTTCATACTGGGACGTTTCTTATGTTGTGGACGAGATTGAGCTGAGTTTCTTAGCTCTTTTTCTTATTTTTGGAAACATTTGAGCTTTTTTCTTAACCAATTTTTGCTTAATTTGCGGGCCCGTCCTGTACAGCAGTACAACAGTTATTTCGGCACGCGGCTACAGCGGGAAACATGAAAAAAACCGTGGAATCGCGGAGTCTGGAGATCATCACCACCATTCGTGAACTCTCATACCGCTGCTCCCAGAAGTCATCTCTGCCGCCACTGGACGAAGTCAACACCGACGCCAGTGTAGCTATACGTCTTTTCTTCTCATTTCACTACATGTAGTCCGGAGAACGTTGGGAGGCACATGTCGTCATCGCCAGGGTATGGCGAAGACGAACAAAGCAGTAGGATCACGTGAGGCTGTGCCCAAGGAGGAAGATCATTTTGACAACAAACGGAGTGCAGCCCTCCGCCAGATCGTAGCTGCCAGGATACGACAACACGAGCGATCGCACAGAGAGTGACGATCGAGCGCAGACTGATCACGCACCCGAGGCAGAGCAGAGCAACGCATACCATCAACGAGCGCTTGTGCACACGCTGGGCCTGCGGTGAGAGCCTCGATGACCTGGGACCACAACGCTATTATCTATCCTTAACAGACGGGGGGGCCTTTCCATTCCATCCCAATGCCAAATGCAACTGAATCCGCTTGATACCATTGATCAATTGACGACAATTGTCACTCGCTACCGTCCGCACCTAGACGTTTGCCTCAATTCTACCAAGCAACGAACGTCCCGTCCCGTATCTGTACATTGTAAGGAAAAAGCTTTGCTTCGTCTGGGTTTGTGGTACTCTCAAGATAACAACTTCGCAAACTGGTGGCTCCCAAAGGGCGAATCAGCAGTACGGGCTAAGCGGGGATGAACACATTTTCACGAAAGCATTCCGAAAGCTGGATCGAACGAAGCTATCCGCAGAGATCGGGACCGAATGTACAGCCGCCAGGAACTGCTTCCACGGCACAATCTGTTTATTTGGTTGTTTGACGTTTTGGTCGGATCCAAAAGCCGTTGGTCCAAACGCAGCAGTAGCAGCAGGAGCAGGCGCAGAAGACAAAGCACAGAGAGGCAGTTGTCGGCCCGAGCTTAGTTGTTAGGCGAACTGCTGTTGTTGATGGCAGGTGACGGACGTTTGGGGATTTTCATTACCCCATAACTTGAAGCACATCAAGCATTCTTTGGGTCAACTTCAACGATAGCACAGGCAAACAAAATACGCAACATCAACAGGGCAATTGCACTAGGCAAGCATTTGTTTCTGACACATTTACCATGGTAGATATCATAAAGCAGCTTATTGGACGAATCAAAGCAGAAACAATGTCAACCCAGAGAAACACACACGACTGAACCCTATTGGCATGCATGCGACTGTACGTTCTCTTCGTGTAAGCGACTCACTGACGTAGGCCACAAGCGCGGGGTTGTAGCTGCACGTGTCCACGCCCCCGAAGGCACAGCAGAACGAGCCCCCGAGGGCGGGGCAGTCGGTGTTGGCGATGGTGCCGAAGGTGCAGCCCGTGATGTCCAACGCCATGAAACACTCATGGCAGCCGTTCTCCCCCGTATCTTCCGTGCAGGTGGTCATTTCAGAGGCACACTCAACCCCGGCAGTGTTCGGATTCCACGGGTTCAAACCACCATATATGAAGTACTTCTTCACAGCAAGCTCTAACCTCGCCATCGCCTGGGCAAGAGCAGACACGTTCGAGCTGAGGTGAGACTTCTCGCTGATTGAAACAGCAGCGACCGCCACTCACTTGGCGGCCTGGTCGACCATTGGTGTGCGCGTACTGTAGGTGTGCCCTTGCTTGGCAACTTAACTCTGGCGGTCCGAGAAACATCCATGGGAGAATCAACTGCGTGGGGCAGAGGTGCCGTTTTTGTCCAAGTCGACCAAAAAAATCGTCGGTTAGTAATCGCTGCGAGATGGCGGTGGCCTCTGGTTCGTCTTTCTTCCGACCGGGTACCAGTGGCCGAACGACATTAGGCCAAAGTGAGGAGCGACAGGAAAAGCGAGAGCGGCTATTCTACGAATACTATCAGCTCCTCTATTGTAAATAGTTCCTGTTCATCGTTGGTCTGCAGGGTGGCCTGAAAAGTGACCTTGACCTGGAGTGTCCCAGCCTTCGATCGTCACGCCAAACAGAATACGACATGTTTTTCATGAAGAATCAAAATGGTGGAGAACAATGCACAACCAATCGTTGTACGGCATAGTCGCGGTATTTCTCCGATGCGACGCGAAGCATCGATGCACACCCAAAGACATGCAGCAACGAGAGGACTTAAGAAACGAGTCCTCAACAAGGAGCGGGCGAAGGTTGTCAGTGAAGACACGAAACACACAAGCTGCGAAGCGACCAAGAGACGCCTGTAACTACATACATACCTTCGCAGTTGGGCTGGTCCCGCGGATGTTTGACTGGATCATCTGGTTCAAGATCTTGTGCATGGGGTTCATGTCGGCCGCGGTGTCACCTGCGCCAGACAAAGGACCCGAACTGCCGCGTAGGGAGCTGAGTGCCTTGTGCAGAGACCGTTTGTCCGGTTTTGGGCTTGAACCCCACGAACCGCCGCCCCAAGACCCATCCATCCCACGAGCGACGAATTCGGCGGTCGCCTGGGTCGTGCCACGGTACGGGAGCGCGTTTTCGGATTCGTTTTCCTTTGTAGCGAGGCTGTCTGCCTTTGGCAAAAAAGACGTGCAATCATTACGAAAAAAATCCTTACTCCCTCACCGTGGCGCGCCTTGCCTCAGATACTTCAGTGGTAGGACCATCGGAGGAGGTGGCCTGCTGTGTATTCATGGCAATGGTGGTGGTAGCCAGAAGAACAGTTGTCACGAGCAATGAATTCCTGATAGTCATTTTGCGCGGTAGTATGCTTGTCTTGAGCTTCTCTCGATTGCTCCTGTTGCTCCTCTTGTTGTTGATGAAGTTGTTGTCGCTGTCGCCGCTGCTGCTGTTCATGCCGGAGTAAAAAATACTCGGAATTTTCCTGCAGCACCACAATGAAGAGACAGGAGGACGCCCATGAAAAACTCAAAGTCACGCGAAATTCGGTCACAATATCACCTTCGAGATCAACATCGGGAGTGTATGCCGGTCGCCCCGGTGGTCTAGTTGGTATCCTCGAAACCTTCTAGAGATCAGGTCAGGGGTTCGACTCCCGACGTAAGCGAGCTTTTCTTGCAAAGTGAGTTTTTCTTTCGCTTCCGCTCCTGGCCTAATGGATAGCGCTAGTTCGTTTGTACATAGAGGGAAGAGAGTGCTGAACTCTTCTCGCAGTACAAGTCGAAGGCAAAGTACCGCAGGAGGGGAGGGTAGAGAGGGGCTCTTCTGTGTGACCACGGGTTGGAGTAAAACGGCACTATTGTGACCACAGGTTGCAGTAAAACGGCACTATAATAGTGCTGTGAGCACTGATTTGAAGTGAAGACAAGGAAAAAAAAATACATGGTCGGACCGTTGGAACTTCAACGAGGCAACGAAGCATGTCAACATGCAGACCTAGGAAAAGCTCTCTATGGGGACTGTGGCACAAAACACTCGTGCTTCCGCGGAGAAACATACTTGGCACACGGTCCGCGCGTTTTGGACCCTCACAAGCAGGATCGATGGTTAAGTGTCGCCGCTTGACCGACCTAGCATCGACATCGAAAACACCTCGAAACTTCATCCTTTTTTTCTAGGTCCCCCGCCAAGAGAGTATTTAGACCAACACGAATGGTGTCTCGGTAGGGGCTGGATCTTCATATCTTTCTTAGCAGGTTTGGCTGGCGCGCGTTTAAAGGGCACCATTCTGAGTGGACGTTCAGCCGTGGGAGGTTGTGGCAGTCTGGGACTCACCGGATCATGTCTCCACCTGACTGCTGACGGGTGCTTTGTTTCTCTGCGGCACGGCCCTGCTCCCATCCGAGAGGTACGCAAAAGCAACAAAGCCCGGGAAGCGGTATGAAGCAGGGAAGCAAAAGGTCGGCGAGAGGGGGATGGAGATGAACCCGCAGCGGAACAAAAAAAGTCTTAGAAATCAGAGTAGACTAACAGGTTTCTGCTCGCACATCGTACGAGAGAGATATTTTGGCAGCTCCCAGGCGCTCCAACCCATGGACCGCCCGGGATCGTTTAAGTTCTGGACGGCGTGCGGATCACGATTCCCCACCGGCACGACGCTTGTCACCGCTTGCACCGCTGTGAGGTGGGCACAAGGGTTGCTTTTCGAGAGGAGACAAGGAGGAATCATGAGCACCGCTCGCACAACTCGTCGTACGAGAAAAGGGCATGGCACAAAGTATTTCATCGGTTGACGTATCACATACGCTTAAGTATTCTTCAAGCACATATGGGTGCTACACCCACCCCCACTCTTCTTACCACAATACATTTTGATCTCTATGGGATCCGGAGATACTGTTATTATTTCTCTACTCTATCGACCAGTATTTACCCTGATTTCCGACAACTTTATTCTTGGAAGTCATGGCATTAGTGTAGACTTGTGTTTGAAGTTCTCTCACAGGTCGGGCAGGGCAACATTATCAATGCTTGGCTGATAAATTCCGTCACTCATATGTACAGGGTCTGAAACCATCGTTTTGAAATATATATTTGTGGCTCAGATGGCCAAGGCAGGGTGGAAACCCGGTTGCAATTGATATATTTTGGAAACCACTCGCGAATCAAATACCGGATTCGACTCAGAAAGTTGAGGGTGGCGCTGAAGAATTTGCCGGGATGAAAGTTGGAGGGCAGAATCCCGGTTGGTGCCTCAGGTATGCATACAAGACTACTGGTAAAAATATAAGGGGTGCATCTTCTGCGAGGAGTGTTGGGGGAGGAAACACACATTCCCGCTCCATTGAAAAGATTAACGTATAATCTTTCAGTGATTGCATGCACAGACTGCACTATAGACTATATTTAGACGGTTTCTTTTGTTTATTGTTATAGTCGTACCAGAACGAATCCACCTCTGTCCATATATGAGAAAATCCAGGATTAGCAATGAATTCGTAGCGTTAGGGAAGCACTACCAGTGTTTCTACGGTTCCCCGAGCAGCGCGCAGCGATTCTCCGCTGTGGGTATAACAGGCTCTACAAGGCAGTTTGGTGGCCATCTTTGCATCTGACTACCGTCTGTTTTTTCTGGGAAGGCGTAGAAGGAAGATGTTGGGAAGATGTTTGTATGTGGCACCTGCCTTGGCAAAACAGATCACATACATATGCATACGTATGTATACGGTATTACATTTTACTCCCTGGTTCGATGATGATGCGTTTTTTCTAAGGAGCATCAGGATTGATTACTGGAAAGGTTGTTTTTTTAGTCTACGTGGCAGAGCAGGCAGACATCCACCTGACGGCCCATCGGGAATCAGATCTCCCCGAAACAGCAGGCAGAGGGCTCCCCTACCAGAGGGCATGTCTGCACGAAGGATGTCCAAAAGGAATCGTGTACAGCTGCCCCCCGCGCATCATCTCGATCTTTAGGCTGCTGCTGTTGAACGCAGGGCGTTATGCCTAAAGATCCAACCCCCACACCCCACCGACTACTGTTGTTCGTACAGCACGGTTTGCTGATACGCGGCACTTTGACGATCCCATGATCACCAAAGGAAGGCACCCTTTCAACAACCCCGATTACACCAAGCATACCTGGGAGCAAAGACGGAAGAGTTTCGTGTGTGAATCACAAGATGGGGATGCAATCTCTCCCTCTGCAGACACAGCTAACAAGATCGCATGCGGTGGAACCACAAAAGACGTTGCCGTATTTGGCCATTGGCCAATCATGTGAGACTGGTTCCGCTCCGAACCAAGAAAATAATCTGAACCTGGTCCGAACACGCGTACACCGGACGGCACCGGCTGCACCGGACGAGGAGCAGCGCAAGAGGATGTCACAAATCGCGTTCCTTCATAGAAGCCGCAACACACGGAATTGGCCACGCCGGTCGTCCTGTTAGCGCCGATGTCGCAGCCTTGTTTCTCTGGTGCCAGAGAGGGTCACGACGATGCTCCCTTTTCTGATTCCAGACTTTGCCCGGTAAGGATACGCAATGCACGCGGCAGACTGGACTAACACGTACGCACGTCGTCTGTAAGGAGGCAACGTAGTGGATATATTCAACCTTCCAGAATGAACTCTGCGCGTGCCTCACCTATCCCTGACAGCAGCAACAGTTTTCGCTCGTGATGTCCTTGGTTAAGCCGGGATCTTGGCCTTGTGCAACGAAAAGCCTAGGCCGATATATCAAGATCCAATCCACCAGAAGAAGAACGACCGTTGGCGAATCAATTTCATCACCAGGATCTTCGACACTTTTCATCACAATCGGTCGAGCAACTTACGCTACGCTTCGCATCTTGTACTGGTGGATGGCTTCGCTTGGGTGGGCGAACCCGTAGGAGCGCAGGTCGATTCTGAATTGACATCGCCTACACTATTGTAAAGTACAAGGGCAGGTTTGTTTAAGGCGTAGACAAAGGCGTAGACAAAACAAACCGAGGTTTATTGAAACAACTCGAATTGCCATACTGTTTATATTGGGGTACCCGGAACGCATTGCGTACTGCGGGGCCCCCTCGGTCGAGAGGAGTCGCATATGTTACCATTCTGTTCAAGCCTTGTGTCCACGGAGTCTTAGCGTGCCAGAGAGAGGGTATCGCAGAGACAACTAGCGAGGTGGTCACATAGAAGGCTTCTAGTGGTGTGCCAGCCTCTGGAGCTGACAGGAAGTGGAGTCTTTTCCCACCCACCCACCCCTTTTCTTTCGAAGGTGGGGGAAAGGAGAGGACGGATTAAGTATCCGGTAGAACTTATAGCTGTATGTATGTGAGGCGAAGAAAATGGTAGGGTACCATTTTAGGGACATGGTCATCTGAGACTACTGTGTGCAGTAAGATTGGTTCCCTCCACCGCAGGAGAGGGCACCCTCAGTTGCTGTTTGGAGGGAAGAGAGAGACAGTCTTTATTGGGAGAGAGGCAGAGGCACGATAGAAAGGCCGCAGAAACGTGTCTGCGGGAAATGTGCTCTCTGCCAGTTTGGTTTCTCTCTCTTCCCTCGGGCGGTAGAAAATATTAATAAATGCAATTCGAAAGAAAACAATAAAGCACATTGCACTTAATCCAGGTACACCTTTTGGTACACCCAGTCATACGCATAAAACAAGTCCAGATTTGAGTTGCCGCGAGAGGTCGCGATGATACAACTGCTGTATATACACTGACTTTCTTTTAGAATGTCCATATAGAACAACGGAGACAGATTCTCCATCAACGCACGCTCACGAAGCATCTACTGTAACACATATCCTTTCAGTGTTGTCCCAGCTAGTACCCCTGCTGTGCTTGACTTTTATTCTTATGTCGAGAAAGGTTTGCAAGCCCTTGTCTCTTACAAGGATTCACCAAAAAATGAGCTTTCTACCGCAGCGTTGCAAATGGTGCACTCCCAGGAGAGATTCGATCCCATAACTGCTAGTAGGTTTACGAGGTCACCCGTGGACCACCGGGGCAAATAAACTGAGAAATACCACTCACCATACAACATACGCGTCTACAAAATTCGGTGGCGTACCTGACATTGCCTCGGCAGCATGTTGGTCAGCCCCTACAAAACCAAGAATGGACTGTACAATTCAACTTATGCCAACTGCGTGGGTGTGATCCATGTTTGCACACGGTCGAGGCTATTGCAAGGAAGGTGCCAAGAGCTTGAGCGGAGAGAAAGCTAAGGGAGCAACAACTACCTGCGTCCCCGGTCGAAAGTGTTCCGCACAGCAGTACTGTAAGGATCTCGTCGTAGGATTCGATGCTACGACTTTCATATGCAAGCGTCGGGTTTGATGTCCTCGGGAAGAAAGAAGCGCGTTACGCCGAGATTTCTTACGATTTAGAGAATGCAAAAAGCAAGCGTTGTCGGTTCTCGTTCTTGCTAGCGACCATCATAAGTGATGACACCTTTCTTCCATGTTTTGCCTGGTACCCTTTGGATTGTCTATCCGGTACAGGCGAATGCTGACAAGGGCAAGCGGAGACGTAAGTTGGAGTCATCATTCCTGGCATTCTCGTCATCATCAACAGCAGTTGTAGAAGTAGCAGCGAACGGTCCGTCCGGGCCAACAAGGTTTCGCTTAAAGTTTCTGCTGAAGATTACCGTTTTTTTGGCGGTGCTTCACCTGGTAATGATGATGCGGGTGAACAGGAAGCGGCGGGAGGAGGTGATCACGGACCGGAAAGCTCCCGGTCCTGAAAAGGGCCAAGATGTGCTACCACCAGCAGCTCCCGAGGTTAGATGAAGATGGGTGTCGATAAACTGAAATATCACAGTCAAAGTGGTCCGTTTTTCACGATCACACACACCCCCCGTGCACCACCAACCTACACCGCAACGGCTTGAAATTGAATATGTGACGTTTGGCATAGAGCAGTTCTACTAGCGACGGTAGCGTTTCGAAGGAGCTTCCATGATTGAAACGACAGTTCCGTCAATTCCATTATTGTCGTGCTGCGTCAAACAATATATCAAAGCTGTCCGAAGCAATCCGACAAGGGGTGAAGCCTTGCCCGTTCGAGGTAGCGTCGCCTTGCCCTTCCACGACAAAACTAGTCTGCGATGTCAGCAGCTTGCTGGTAAACCACCGCCAAAGTCGTCCTATCTCCCGCTGGAACTCGTGTTTTCAGCATGATTTCAGCTTGTGGTTCCTGTTAGAGGCAAGGCACTACGGTGGTTGTGTTTCATTTGTGCGGCCCTACGGTATTGTTTACAGGCTGTCTCGGCCTCTTTCTCACATGCCTTTGAGTTCCGGTAATAATGTTGAATAGAGTGGAGCGTTTCCCGTCCCAAGGGGGGGCGCCTCCGCAACAAGCACCGGTGTATTGGTACAAGTGCTGCCACGGAAGCTGCTGCTGCCACCGTTGTTATTATGGGTCGGTTGTTTTCCGTTTAACCTGACGAAAAAATGTGGAAGTTACCCCCGTACCCAATGCAAGCCGGGCAGTGCGTATCTCCGCGTGATTGCATTCCCCACGACTTCATTTGTGTCCAGGGAATTCTTTTCTTCGCGTACGGCGCGGAGATTACGACAGCGGAGCACTATCTGCAGCAGGCGATCACATCGGCACGTCGTATCAAGCTGCTGAACCCCAGCACGAATATCACTCTCGTCACCAATCCAGGCATGCGCCCGGACATCGATGGCGCCTTTGACGCGGTACGATTCAAAGATTTGCCCAACAAATATCGTCATACATGACGATACTGTTAGTTTGTCGCCTGGTTGTACATTTTTCAGGCCTCTGATGGTACAGTCGGTGCGTGTGTGCGTCTGTTGGTTAATGCATGTCTTCCGTCTTTTCGAACGTGTGCGGCAATCGCTCACCACGAAACTCTTGTCCAAACGAGCAGGTAGTCAACGTAGAGGAAAAACTGTTATACTCAGGAACGGTGCAATCGTGGAACCCCAACGGCGTCAGTCGGCAGTGGCTCACGCGCCTCGAGTACCTCGCCCGCTCTCCCTACCAGGTGAGTGAAACGGTGGTACATAGACCAGAGAGGAGAACATGAATTCGTTTTTCTTGAGAGTAGCGAGGGAGCTGTCGGGTGATGTGGTGCGGCGCAGCCCCTACATATCAGCGCTCTCGGTGATGACATTTTGGCGTTTGAAACAATCCTCACCCGGAATATATTGTATATATTGTGGTGTTTACAGGAGTATCTTCTGCCAGCGTGTTGCTCGATTTGAAAACGTGCTTACGTTTCCGGCTCATATTGAGCCGTACAACAATGTCACTGGGTGTGGTTCTTCTGGAGCAATGGGATCCTGAGCATTTCCCCGTAACATATCGAAATTTCGGGGTTGAATACCTCGTTCTCCACTCCCAAGCAGTTGCAACCATTTTCACACATGACGGTGACAAGACGCCAATATCTGCCGTTCCTGCCAACGATAGCAATTGTTGAACCCTTGAGAATCTGTTTTCCTAGTATTGAGCAAAATCGCGCAATACATGAGTACTTTCCCCATGGCAACCGTCTTCGTTGTTCACGGAAGAACGTCGTGCATTTTGTAGGATGTTCTGCACAATCGGATCGCACGATGATTCTCGACAATATTTTGAACACATGTGTAGTATCGCTCGCCAAATACGAAGGAGGTTTGGTGAATATTGCTGTCGTCGCACTCGCCTTGAATCCATCCATATCTTGCTATGTTACCTACACACGCCGGCTTACCTAAGACCGTCAGTCCATAGCCGCATGCTACGACGAGCTTCGTGCAAGAAGAGCAAAAAGGCTTGGTGAATGTGGTGAAATGGCGGACAATATTGATCGGGAATATTACACGGCGTCGATTTCCATCGGTTGGACAGACAACTCTGGCCTTGGACTCCCAGGCCCTCTGTTGCGCCACCGATGTCGAAGACTTACTGAAAAAAACCAGGGCGGAGGAGTTCGACCTTGCGTTTGCGGTGCAGGTATGGCAGAGCCGGGTTTACGGGCCATATTGAAGCCGTTCGGGAACAACAGACGCACGTTTCATTTGGTTAGCTGAAGTACGTTGCCTCCGAGCAAAACCCACCCATACATGTCTGAGACATCTTCGATGCGTTTCAAAACCAGCCGTGTACAGCCGACAGCCGGCTCGTACATACTTTCTCGGTCATGATATTCTCTTTGTTTTCGCTCTGCTCCCCTGCGAAGCATCGTATGCATGAGTGTTCATGAAATATTACGTTCTTAGGTGGGGATGTTTCAAATTGTCTGGAGGCCTTTTGAAGGAAACGTGACTTGTCAGATGTATGTATGTGTGAAAAATATCCATCAAAGAGCAACACCTGCATTCGGTATGCCATTGCCGTTTGTGTACTTGCATGTTTCTTGTCTTGCCTCAGAATCCAGACCTTCTAGCGCCGCATAATTGGGCGATCTTGTACCGCAAGAACGAGAACACGAAGCGCCTCTTCAATCGATGGAGAGTCCTCCAAATCGAGTACAGCAGAGCCGGTTCAGACCAGGTGAGTTCTTATACTGTGCGATTTTTTCTGTTTGGGGCAGAACAATAAATACTTTAAGAAGAACTTATCTGTTCATGCACGTGGCCTGCGTACAGTAAGTGCTTTTTTTTTCCTATACAGAAGGCACAGTAGGAGGAAAGATCCTAATCGTTCGCGCATCCTGCCACAGAAAAACATGAGAGCGAAGAAATGGTTCGAGTTCACTCCCTTTTTTCTACCTTGTTTGCCTTTCTCGGTAGTCTTTCTTCAAGCTATCGATTGCAGAACGATTCATTAAAGTATGAACCTACGACAGTTTATGTATGGTGTCATCGCCGTGGGTGCTCTCTACGCAGCAAGCTGAAATCTTTCCCAACGCACTGTATTCGTAGACTGGTTTGTTTTTGCCCGCGGCGAGCAACTTAGTTTGCGTTACCGGTAAGGTAAGGCAGATACTACATTTCCCGGAGGATGAGTCAACGCAAAGCAATATGGTGACATGTCGAGACGCTATGACGACCGAACGTGAATATTTGTTTTGATCTTGTTCCCTTATTCGTATTCTCCGACAGCAAACACTGGAGATGGCCGCAGGATCGCTCGCGCTACAAGGCAAGCTCAACGTTAGCGTCATTTCGGAGAACTTAGCTCTCGCAACCGTGGTTTATAACCGCACCGTCCCGACCTTTCCGAAGACGTCTATGCTCATCGATCCAGGGCCTGTCCATTTCGTTCACTACGACGCGGCGTCTGATGAGGACGCGGAGATGTGAGTGTGGCGTTTATCGTTTGTCGTGGGATGTTTGGCATGTATTACCTTCGTTTTTTTACCTGAGAACTCGTGATAGGTATCTACGATCAGTACCTTTCCTGACATGTGCGCCATCACGGCTATGGCAATGATTCCACCATTCCGATGGCCCGTGAGCGCTCGCGTAGGCGTACAACTACACCGCGTGTGAAACATTCCATTGCTGAGGCGTGATTCCTCAGGTCTCACCGAGGGGTTAAGAGTCTGGATGCCGAAGGTTCCTCATAACGTTTTCTTGTACCCTCCTCCCTCAACGTTTCTTTCCTATACAGGACCTGCCGAAAGCTGAACAGACACTGGAGCCTTGCGAGAGTTGTAGTGATGCCCGCTCCATTTCCAAAATCGGAGGAGACTGGCCTTCGTATCGAAAGCAATTACAAGGTAACTGTTGGTGTGTCGAATTGACGTCACCCGCCTTCATTGCAGACATGCGACAGGGCCAACCTGCCCAGCTCTGCGTCACCTCCATTTTTCACCTAGGCTTGCACCCAATCTTTTTCGCATCTCTCGAAGCACCCTTGTTGTTGTTGTCTTCACAACAATAGTCGTTCCGGTCTCTGCCCAGTACGCTACCAGCAAGAATAATTGTTGCCTTTCACCATCACAAGTGTTGCGGTTTGTACGATTCTCACGACAAATCACGCCGAGTGTTTTTTTCACTTTTCATTTGCTTTCTGGTCTCCCGCTTATGTTACACCAGGGCAGGCATCATAAGACAAGTTTCTGGCTGTGTGGCACCGTTTCTGACATGTGAACTTGTCAGAGATCGCGTTTGTCTCGTGATCAATTCCCTTTTTCTGACGAAAGCAGCGAGCGCTTCTGCCTCTGCCGAAGACACAAACGAAACGGACACAGGTTTTGCATGGAGGCCACAGATATTGAGTGCGACGGGCGGGTCTCGTTGGGTCAACAGCGCACATAGGTTAACCTGGACGACTGCCCACACTCACCGCGTTGGATTGCCAAGAAGATATGGTTGGTTTATTTTAGCGAAGACTAACCCTACTCCCCCAACATAACACAGATGGCATACAGCGAATACGAGCTAGCAGAGGCCACTTCAACATCCAGAAGTGGCGCGTCGTATTTCCGGCGGTTAGACTGGGCGAACACCGATGGAAGAAGAGGGCGTTTGGTCACTCCATGGCAAGAACATTGCCCCAAGTGCTGGGAAGGCCTATCTGAGGTGACGAGAAAGCCACGGGGATTGCAGTACTGGAGAAGAGAACCAATCATGGTCAACGGTTTTGGAACAACTGGCCATCAAGAAAAATAGACAGGGAATCTGAGTGATGCCGGGAAAAACACTTGAGAACTGGCTCGGGAAACTCTTTTCACAGTGGGGGAATCCATGGGACGATAGGGTATGTTTTGAAGGAACCAAACGATCGCTGGGAATTTGTTCAATACTTTCTCGCCTGATGGTGAGATGTTCTAAGGCATGTTCTCGCGAGTGCCCCCTGCAGAATCCCAATGGAGTCGAACGGTAGACCCTCGAGGAATAAAAACGCAACTACAACGGTGCCGTCCATCTTAGCCTCCGCGCTCGACGAATTACACTGCCTCATAAACATTACAGGGAGCACGTGGCGCTGAAACATGATGGGGGCACTGAATACCTTGGCAATATGTCGTGAGAAGGGGCACAACGAGCACGAAACGTAATCTACGGCGAATACACCGTGTTTGGCGTTGTATTTCAGATCACGTTTGGTCATGGTGTAAAGCTCGGTTGTTCCACATGATTAGAAGCGCCGACCTTAGCGTCGACCTTAGAAAATTGTGATAAGTGTTATCAAGAGCTTTCCGAATGAGACTCGTTCGGCGTCAGCACCTGGTGGAGCAATCCATCATTGGAACATCGTCGATCAAGTCCTATTCACTAGAAGAAGGCATGGGTCTGAGTACACGTGTGAAAAGAAAGCTGCAACATATCTCACTGGTAATGAGGCAAGAAGTTACGTGCTGTATTTCTCAAGGGAAAAGAACAACGCCATTATGGACGAGATGTTTCTTGACCTTTGGTTTTTCGCACGTGGACGGGTTTGGGAGTGCAGCGCGGGGGTCTGCTCATTCGACATTGTACAAAACATTCGTTCTTGGTCAAGAGTATCACAACATGTATTACAACATTCCACACAGATTGAAGTATAAATGTGCCTAGGACCAATTTCGGCGGCAAGGCGATAACCAACGAAAAGAGGACCTGTCACTGAATAGCGGCGAAGCCACAACTTGGGCGTTTGTACGAAGTTTACATACTAGCTCGGTTTCGCCACCGCTGTCACGTGTATTACTTTCCAGGACGTGGACGCAGGAATAAGGAGACTGTTTCACAACCGGGCAAACATCTGGGATAGTCCGGCCTTCGTTGCCGAGTTTGGTGACGATGTTTTCGAGTGGTCGAAGGAGGAACCGGCCAGTGCCATACAACAAGAGCAAGCTGAGTGACCCGGTGTGGGCGCGGTTGAGAAAAGGAACGCGTGCGTGTGAAATTGTTCATTGCGCATATCTCGAAGTCGGTGCGGCGACTTCTCGAAGGGTACTGTCGCCATGCAGGAGTGAATGAGCGTGTGAAACTTGGTGGTGTGAGATACGTGAGGCAGAGATATTGCCGGCCTCGGAAGCGATTAAAAGGCCAGAGGAAAACCTGCGTGACGGGAGATGGCGTTGGTGATGAATCAAATCTGATGGAGGGCTTTCGCTATATAGGAATTTGAATATTGATTGCCGTGTCTGAGAGAGATGTGTCGCGGATCAACGAAGCCACGCAGATATTGTACGAAAACGATATTCGAATCAAAGGCGCGGCCCTTTTGCCAACGTGGGCTACAGTATATGTCGTTTCTTTGAGCGCCAGTACAGAGTTTAATTGAAAATACACCAAAACGATTCTATATGGTCTGCGCTGAACGTCTCTGGGTAAGGCAAGAAGGAAAAGGGCTCAAACATATATATTGTTTGCGACACGTTTGGCGGACGTTTAGTCAATAATTCTGTTCCATCCACCTACACGAGGCACAAAAACACTTCAGTCTATGAGTTTGGAGCTGAGGGGTTAGCCCGCCACAAAGTCTACGACGTGCGTAGATCAAGGTCTTTATGCTGCATTCTTTCGTCATGTCGAAAAAGGTGGCAGTGTGAGTAGACGGCGGCCTTGGGTACCTCACTGTCGATTGTGAAACAGGTACAAGAAGCTTGCATTACCCCTGATGGGAGTATATCAGTGATGGCGGCGCCATTAGACACGTGTGGAATATGTATTGTGACAATATCTGGTTGTGGGTTCGATTCTCTCTCTTGTCCCACTGCCTTTTGCGGTGGAAAAAGATAAATGGTGTGAGGATGTACACTTCGTGCTCGAGGAAGTGAAGAGGGGCGACTGAACCCTTCGCGATAAACACTCAAATGCTAGTACTACAAGAGGAAGGTGGAGTAAATATGTCAATTAAGCAAGCAATATAAGGACCGTGCGGTCTTCCTCGTGTGTTGCTCCGGCAGAAACGTCAGATATGTAAACCGAAAGGTGTGTGGACTGCAGCCCCGATAATGTATGCATTGGACCCACACACACACAACTGTTCCAACATCCCCTCAATCAATACGAACACGTCCGAGTGGCCTTCCCCCTACAATATGCTACCCAGGCTGGCGTCCAGAAAAAAAACACAACGGAGCGTAATCTAGTTGACTTCCAGAATGAATGGAATTACACCCGCCATACGTTTGGTGTATTTTCATTGGTCAGACCACAAAAAAGAAACATATGGTACATATGCTCAGGAGATTATATCACCGTAATTGTTTTTGTTGGTGCTGGTATTCTCTTCAATCACCTGGGATTTCCAAGACAAGATAGCACCAAGTTGCCTTACTTGTTACAAGGCTTCAGTGTATACTGACGTCTTTGGGCAAGATGTCCACATGCTACATACCGTTGAGTTCCAGGGGGCCCAGCATACTGATGACCCGATAGAACGTGTTCTATCAACCTGATGCCTATTGCTTCTATGCGTTCGAACCAGCACCGCGATTGTTTTCGTCCTGGAAGAGCACCAGTGGATGTGGTCCATTGCTACCATCAGGAAATTTTGTTATTTTCGTCGGGTAGCAAGAGAAGGGGCAGGTCCGGAATGTTCCTACCCCCAGGGGCCCGTCCGCGGATTGCTTTGCATTGCCTGCCCCCGTTCACCGCAAGGCAATCACTGCTCCACCCTTTCGCTTGCAGTCAAGTCCTGCTGAGGTGTGTTGGATAGCTTGTTGAATCTGTAGCTTCTAGACTCGGGGGCCATAGGCCTACCGTTGCCGACTAAAGCGCCGGTCGCCTTCTATGCCAAGTGTATTTGCCAACACCAAAACGGTCATTACTATCTCAGCGCCTGGTTAGTGCATACGAGAGGGGGCGTCGATCCCAACCGTCAAGACCTCGCCGCAGCCCGTCCCCAAAAGAAATAGTCTTCCATCGTTCTCGTCCAAGCCCCCCGTATACATGGGCGGTGCCCGGTTGTCAGCTACACTCCCCGATGCTGCGACGAGGGATGTGACCTTGTCCTGACATGGCCAGACCGACAACAATCGCAGCAAGCGAACATTACTGTCACAGCTACCCTTTCTTGCCGCACCATCAACCGCTGCACCTCTGTTGCTTCGGTCGATGTCGTCGTCACCCCCCCCACGATGAGGCATCACAATATCTGCTTCTTCCTCCTCAATGTCTGATACGTTGCGGTTGGTACTACCATCGCGGGTAGAGGCCGCCGGTAACCGTCGGTGGGTACAGGCGAGTACGGCGACGGTTTTCGTCGTCCGATCCGCTACCGCTACTAGGGGAATCCCGTTTACGGCCGTAGTCTCTCCCCTCCCCACACCGACGCCGGTGGGGGCGGGGGGAAAGGAAGGGTGGGGAGAGAGCGCGAGGACATCCACGATGAGGCTGTCCCTGGCGTGTCTAGCAACCACGCACAGCGTTCGCGCACTTTCGTCGTATCTGTGTAGAGTTGGTCCGGGGGGAAAGAGAAGCACCAGGGCGGTAGAATATTGGTAACGTGATGTGGTCCGTGTTCATGCGGAGGCGGTCAGCGCCGCCCGACAGTGTTTTTGAAAATATCAGCGATGACGGGAAATATCGCTCAGGGAAACTACTCCGGTAGACGACAACGAGAGCACGAAGAAATGCTTTTTCTTCGACTACTGTGCCCCGAAAGACTTTCCGACACTCTTCACGATACCATATCTCTTCACGATACCAGATCTGAAACCAGCTTAATACACTCCACACTCACGGTCAAACTATAGTACGGCCCTAATGCAGATGAATTGGTCGCATTCCTCACACGTCTGAGCTGGTTCGCCCAGGTTCAGCCAGCAACTTACAGTACCTACCGTGGGACAAGAGTCCGAGTCGG